AGATTGTTTTGTGATGTCAGGGTCTTCGAGCACCCTGGGTAAGCACTTTGACTTGTTAGTGCAATAATAAGAAATTGTACTAATGACTAAGTACTGGTGGCTTAGGCCTGTAATCCTAGCTATTCAGGAGGCCAAAATTTGAGGATCTCAGTTCAGAGCCAGCCAGGCAGGAAAATTAGAGATTCTTACTTCCAGTTAACCACCAGAATAACAAAAGTGGCTCGGTGGCTCAAAGTGGTAGTGTGTTAGCCTTGAGCAAAGCGCCTGGGCCCTGAGTTCAAGCTACACAACCAAAAAAAAACGCTGCAAACTTTTAAGCACCTGTAACATTAAAATATTAGAAGAGCTGGGTGCTAGTTGCTGATGCCTGTAATAGTAGTTATGCAAGAGGCTAAGATCTGAAGGATCAAGGTTCAAAGCTAGCCTAGGCAGAACAATCCTTAAGACGATCTCCAAAATAATTAGCAAAAAGCAGTCCTGGTGGTATGGTTCAAGTGGTAGAGCTCCAATCAAGCGAGCACAAGGCCGTGAATTCAAACCTTAGTGCTGCCAAAAAATTGTGTGTTTGTGCGTGCACGCACACGCGTCCATTAAGACATCAAAAAGCAACCCCATTAAAAAATGGTTTCATATAGTAAGAATTTTAGCCCTTCAGCTGGATGCCAGTAGCTCATGCCTATAATCCTAGCTACTCAAGAAGCTAAAATCTGAGGATCACAGTTCAAAACCAGCCCAATCAGGAAAGTCTGTGAGACTTATTTCCAATAAACTATTCAGAAAAAGCCCGAAGTGGTACTGTGGTTCAAGTGGTAGTGCACTAGCCTTGAACACAAAGAGGCTCAGAACATGTAGGCCCTGAGTTCAAGCCCCAGCACCAGCAAAAACACACACACACACACACACACACACACACAAAACTTTAGCCCTTCATCATACTTACAAATATCAAAACTGGAGATTTTAAAACATGGGGAAGAGGCTGGGAAGGTGGCTCAGTGGTAGAGTGCTTGCCTCACATGCATGAGGCCCTGGGTTCAATTTCTCAACATCACATAAGCAGAAAAACCTGAAAGTGGCGCTGTGGCTCAAGTCTAGCCTTGAGCTGAAGAGCTGAAGGAAAGTGCCCAAGCCCAGAATTCAGGCCTGGACTCTGAACATGAGGAAACACTTTCAGTGGCAAGTGAAAAACACAAGATAACTAATCGCATATACTTCATGATAGCATCTTAAGTAACAGAAGCATTGTTAAGATGAAGGAAATTCATGTTAGGGTTGTAGAATTGTGGGAAATTTTTAAGCCTTTTTTTTGTTAATGAATTTAAAAGTTATCTAGTTTGGCTTGATTCCCAACAATTTTACAAATACTCACCTAATGCAAAATATCTCTACCTGCCTGACTCAATAGTACCATGTCCAGAAGTGAGTTCCTGGTCTTTACTTTCAAACAAATGAGAAGGACATTTACTTCTATAAATGATACCATATACATTTATCAGTAAGACCTAGAAATGGGATGTGAGCAAGTAACTAACAGCTCCTTCAGCACTAAGAATTGTATTCATCTGTTGCTTCCATGAGCCTCTCCATTCTTACTGCCAACCTGATTCCAAGAACCCTTCTGATTTCTCACATAACCACGGGTGAATTTTCCAAAGTATAAGTCACTTTATTATTCAGTCTTGAGAACTTAAAGTGACATTCTCCAGTGGCATTCTCCATTCTGCCTCCACTAATCTCCAATATGAATATGAACCTTATACCTCATCCACATTATTTTCCTCACCATTCCTAGAGTTTCAGGCCTTTTCCTATAAAGCTTGTTTCCTTTACTTTCTCTTGTCAAAAGTCTCTCAAAATCCAATTCATAACTAACATCTATCTATCTCTATATATATAAACATAGAAGAAATGAAGGCTGAGGCTATATCTCATTGGTTCTTGCCTATGATCCTCAAAGCACTGAGCCATACACACAGTTACAAATGCATATAAAAACCCTAAGTTTTTTTAGGCTTAGAAAAGAGCCAATTTAAAAAAGAGAAAATTGGCCTGGTGCCAGTGGCTCACACCTGTAATCAGTTCAGAAGGCTGAGATCTGAGGATCATGGCTAAAACCAGGCCAGGCAGGAACATCCATGGGACTCATCTCCAGTTAAACACCAAAAAGCTAGAAGTAGAACTCTTGCTCAAATAGTAGAGTTCTAGCCTTAAGTTGAAAATGCTCAGGGATAGAGTCCAGGTCCTGAGTTCAAGCCCCAATATCAGAAAATCTTCCACCAAAAAAAAAAAAAATAGTTGAAAGCTGGGTGCCAGTGGCCCACGCCTGTAATTCTAGCTACTTAGGAGACTGAGATCTGAAGATCATGGTTCAAAACCAGCCTGGATAGGGAAGTCCATGAGACTCTTATTTCCAATAAACCACTCAGAAAACCAGAAGTGATGCTGTGGCTCAAGTGGTAGTAGAGTGCTCACCTTGAGCTGAAGAGCTGAGGGACAGCGCCCAGGCTCAGAGTTCAAGCCCCATTACTGACCAAAAAAAAAAAAAAAGTTGATCTATTTATCCATGCAACAATATAGTAAATTTCGAACAGGCAAAAGGCCAGACAGGAGTACATATTGTGTATTGTATGATCCCTAGAAAATAGTTGTTGGAGAGTGAGGAAAAGAGAATTGATCAGAAAGAAACATGAGGGAAATATTCTGTGTATGGTTTTGGATGTCTTGTGGGTGTATACAGTTGTCAAAACACATTCAATAGAATGCCTAAGAGCTATGAATCTCAATTTATAAAACTTAATTTCAAGCCGGGCGCTGGTGGCTCATGCCTGTAATCCTAGCTACTCAGGAGGCTGAGATCTGAGGATCGCGGTTCAAAGCCAGCCCGGACAGGAGAGACCGTGAAGACTCCAATCTCCAACAAACCACCAGAAAACCGGAAGTGGCGCTGTAGCTCAAGTGGTAGAGCGCTTGCCTTGAGCTGAAGAGCTGAGGGACAGCGCCCAGGCCCAGAGTTCAAGCCCCACGACCGACAAAAAAAAAAACTTAATTTCAAAAAATTCTGTGGAGAACCTTTCCACAAAGCTGCTCACGTGGGCTGGGAAGGTGGCTCAGTGGTAGAATGCTTGCCTTGCATGCTCGAGGCCCTAGGTTCGATTCCTCAGCACCACATAAGCAAAAAAGAAGAAAGCTGGAAGTGGTGCTGTGGCTCAGTGGTAGAACACTAGCCTTGAGCTGAATAGCTGAGGGACAGCGCCCGGGCCCAGAGTTCAGGCCCCATGACTGGACCCAAAAAAAAAAAAGTTTCTCACGTGAAGAAACTACCAGAGTCCTTATTCTTTCTTTTAGAATGTCATACATTCTAAAGTCGGGCACTGGTGGCTCACGCCAGTAATCCTAGCTACTCAGGAGGCTGAGATCTAAGGATTGCAGTTTAAAGCCAGCCCAGGTGAGGCTCTTATCTCCAGTAAACCACAAGAAAAACCAGTGTGGCTCAAGTGGTAGAGCACTACCCTTGAGCTGAAGAGCTGAGGGACAGTGCCCAGGCTCAGATTCAAGCCCCATGACTGACACACACCACAAACAAAAAAGTTTTGGTTTAGCCTTCTATTTCAGGTAGCCACCCTCAATCAAGCCTCCACAATTTGTGTTGAGCACTTAACATTCCCAGGAGAGAGGGGGCTCCATAGAATTTTCTAGAAGGCTGATTAGTCATATAAAAATGAATCATTGGCCAAGATATGGAGAGCAGTTAATTGTTTCACAATAAAAAAATAAATAACAAAAAGATGTGAAAATGTTGGTCATCATCCATGCCTGTACTATTAGCTACTCAGGGCTTGAGATTCTGAAGATTTTGGTTTGAAGTCAGCATGAGCAGACAAATCTGAGAGATTTTTATTCTCTAGTTAACCAATAGAGAAGCTGAAGTAGAAGGGGCTGAAGTGGTAGAACATCAGTCTTGAGCAGAAAAAACCAAGTGAAAAGTATGAGGCCCTGAATTCCAACCCCAATACTACTAGCACATACACACAAAAGGAAAATTAGTATCTGAAGTTTTAAATATTAATAAGTTTGTTTAGGTTTTGTTTGTTTTTTGTTTGCCAGTACTGGGGGCTTAAACTTAGGGCCTATGTGCTGTCCTTCAGCTTTTTTTCTTTTTTTGGGGTGGGGGGGGTCTGGTCTTGGAGCCTGAACTCTGGGCCTGGGCACTGTCCCTTAGCTCTTCAGCTCAAGGCTAACGCTCTACCACTTGAGCCATAACACCACTTCCACCTTTTTTCTTTTTGCTTATGTGGTGCTGAGGAATCGAACCCAGGGCTTCATGCATGCAAGGCAAGCGCTCTACCACTGAGCCACCTTCCCAGCCCTCAGCTTTTTTTCTTAAGGCTAGTACTTTACTACTTTAGCTCTAGCTCTAGTTGCAGCTTTTTGTTAGTTAATTGGAGATAAGAGTCTCACAGGCTTTCCTCCTGGGCTAGCTTTGAACTACCATCCTCAGATCTCAGCCTCCTGAGTATCTACAATTACAGGTGTGAGCCACTGGCACTTGGCAATTACTCAGTTTTATTTTTAGGTAATGGAAACTAGCAATCAGGAAACTTGGGTTTGTTTTCAGCTCTGGCAGTGGTTTGGGGAACTAAAGTTCTGTGATCTTGGTTGTTTCAATTGAGACGATTATTACCTATTCAGTGGAGTCCTAAGTAAATCTAAATATAGATTAGATATAAGATTACATTTTGTAGTCAAATTGTATCTTTGTGTGTGTGTGCCACCTGTGCCTGACTTCAAATCATGTCTATAAACAAAAATAAATGGGGAAAATAAATTGATAACACTCTTATTTGTGTATGTGAAAATTGTTTGAAAAACCAGTAATTTTATAAACTGTGTTGCATAAATTCATACATGTGATATGAGCAAAATGAAATTTGTAGATGAATAATAACATGCAATTTTTACAAGAGAAGACTTCACCATTTCTTTGGTTTATTTTTCTGATAGCCGTCATGGCAACTTCATCTGAAGAAGTTTTGTTGATTGTAAAAAAGGTGCGTCAAAAGAAGCAGGATGGAGCTCTATACCTCATGGCAGAAAGAATTGCTTGGGCACCTGAAGGCAAAGATAGATTTACAATCAGCCATATGTATGCAGATATTAAATGTAAGTCAAATATATTACACTTTATATGTGTGTATGTATCGTATCGTATAGTATTTTTATGTCCGGTTTCCTTTTTTTTGGGGGGGGGGTCTGGTTATAGGGCCTGAACGCTGTCCCTCAGTTCTTCAGCTCAAGGCTAGCGTTCTACCACTTGAGCCACTTCCAGATTTTTCTTTTTTACTTATGTGATGCTGAGGAATCGAACCCAGGGCCTCGTGCATGCAAGGCAAGCGCTCTACCACTGAGCCACCTTCCCAGCCCCTATGTCTGGTTTCTTTTTGTAGTACTAGGAAGGAAACACAAACATCGTGCATGCTACAAGCATTCTGCATTAAGCTGTATCCTAATTCCCTATTGTAATTGTATTTTTTTGGGGGGGGGTCGGTCGTGGGGCCTGAACTCTGGGCCTGGGCACTGTCCCTCAGCTCTTTAGCTGAAGGCTAGCACTCTACCACTTGAGCATCAGCCCCACATCCGGCTTTTTCTGCTTATGTGGTGCTGAGGAATCGAACCCAGGGCCTCATTCATGTAAGGCAAGCACTCTACCACTGAGCCACCTTCCCAGCCCCCCTATTGTAATTTTAAAAGATTGTTTTTGTAGTCTTGGTAAGATTCATTTCTCCTTATTTATTAATTTATACTATTTATACCCTGATCTTTTCCTTATTAATAGACCATGTGCAGATTTCCATATATATATATATATATATATACACACACACACACACACACACACACACACACCTCATAAAGATCTCCATATATATTTTGCTTTAATAGTTGGATAAGCTGGCTGTGGTGATTCAAGCCTATAATCCTAGCTACTTGGGATACAAAGATTGGAGAATTGTGGTTCAAGGCCAGTCAGGGCATAAACAGTTCAAGAAACTCCATTTCAGCCAATGGCCAGGCATGGCAAGTCTGATTATAAGAGATTCTTTGAGAAAAGGTATTTCTGAAAAAAGCATGAAGATTGGAACAGGGCTGATAAAGCCCAAGCAATCCTGAATCTTATTGAGAGTAGAAGTAACCTATTGTCTAGCAACTTCTACAATGTGACTGTTCTTATCTTAGTTTCATGCTTCCTTTTTAGGTCAGAAAATCAGTCCAGAAGGAAAAGCTAAAATTCAGCTTCAGCTGGTTCTGCATGCAGGAGACACAACTAACTTCCATTTTTCCAATGAAAGCACAGCAGTGAAAGAACGAGATGCAGTGAAGGACCTTCTTCAGCAGCTCCTGCCCAAATTCAAGAGGAAAGCAAATAAGGAACTAGAAGAAAAAAACAGGTAATGAAGAACAGATTAGTCTTTTAAAGGGATGCTAGAGTTTTGTCTACTCCCTTGGTAGACTACTAGCTCATTATTATCCTCCACCACCCCTTTTTTTTTTTCTGTGCCAGTACTGGAGCTTGAACTCAGGGCCTAGGATCTGGTAAGAGCTGGTAAGAGTCTTACAAACTTTTCTGCTCAACCTGGCTTTAAACCTTGATCCTCAGATCTTGGCCTCCTAACTCATTAGGATTACAGGCATGACCCCCCAGTACCTGGCACTTTGCCCTATTTTTCTTATATAGTCAGGTATAGAAAATAAAACCTTTAGTATTTTTACCACCATGTATAATTGTCAACTTTTGCATATTGCTAGCTGTGTGACTTTATGCAAATGAGAATATGCAAACCCAAAGCTTTAAAGTAACTGCATATAGCCTAACATTTGATTAGGAGCAGAAATGAAATAGAAGGTACTAAGGTTCCTTGGTTTCTTTTCCCAATTCTCTATCACAGAGAAGATATTAAAATATTATGATATGTTTGTGAATGAGAAACAAAGAAAAAAGTGAGATAGATAGCATGTAAAATAATGAGAATTTCTGAGAAGATGAATTATTCCATTTACCAATATGTATCAGACTATTCATTCTTTCAGCTCCCAGTGCTTGTCAAAATGACAAACTACTTATTGGAAAATCTCTAGCATAGCTCCTCTCTTCCCTTTCACCTTTCTGTGTGAAAGACAATACAGTACCTTACAAAAAAAAAAATAATCTCTATCACAGGAATACAAAGCAAAATCCATGCTTTCTAAGAGAGATCGAGAAAGTCAATACTGGTTGAACTTAGGCTGTGGGTGGGTGGGTGTCACAGTCAGTGCTGGTTGAACTTAGGGCCAGGGCACTGTCTCTTAGGGGAAAAAGCTCAAGGCTGGAACTCTACCACTTGAGCCACACCTCTATTCTCAGCTTGTCTGCCTGGGCTTGCTTCAACCTGGTATCCTCAGATTTGAGTCTCCTGAGTATCTTGGCATGAGTTACCAGTCCCTAGCTAAGAATTTAATCTTCACTTCAAATTTATCTCTGTCTCTATTCATTCTTCCCCCAGGTTTTCTTTTTCTTAATTGGTTAAAAGTAAACTAAAAATTAGCCAGGCTCTAGTGTCTCACTGTGGATCATGGTTGGAAATCAGCCCAGGCGGGTAAATCTGAGATTCTTATTTCCAATTAACTACCAAAAATGTCAGACAGTTCCCAGGCCCTGAGTTCTACCAGTCCCCAAGCATGTAGGGGGTTAGGGGCGATCTCCACTACTCAATTACTACAAGATAAAAGTTGTTTCATGTCACCAAAAGCCTTTGAAAATATTATTTTAATGGTGTTTTATTGTAGAAATTTAATTACTTTTAATATAATCTATCACCAGAATGCTCCAAGAAGATCCTGCTTTGTTTCAGCTTTATAAAGACCTTGTTGTAAGTCAAGTGATCAGTGCTGAGGAATTCTGGGCAAATCGTTTAAATGTGAATGCAACAGATAGTTCTTCTACATCCAATCACAAGCAGGATGTCGGCATTTCTGCAGCATTTCTGGTATGTGACACTTGGAGATTTCTGAAGGAAAGAAGTCATAAGTTCAGTATGTGTGTTTACAATGATTTTCTTTCTTTTTTTTTTTATTGTGAAAATACTGTACAGAGGGGTTACAATTACATGGGCAAGATAATGAGTACATTTCTTATCAAGCATTGTAGCCTCCTCCTTTGTTTCTCCTTCCCATCCTCCCCTCCCCCCCACCCCCTCCAATCCTCCCCCCCCCAAAGTTGTGAAGTTCATTTTCAACATAACGACTTGTACATCTCATTGTTGCAATGGGTCCATTTGTATCCCTATTTAAACGATTTGTTTTTCCCCTTCCCCTCCACAAATTATACCGACATCAAATACAGTGAAAGCAGGGGTTATACTGTGGGGAAAGGACATACAAAGCAACAAAGAAATAATCTTATAAATGTGTTAGAAACAATCGCATGAAAGAAAAAAAACATTTGAATACATATCTTAGGGTTCATTTCCCTAACATCACCTTATCTGACCTTTTCTGCTTGACTCAGACATCTACTAGATATTGCAAATAAGGGAAACCATGGGACCTGTGTTTCTTTGGGCCTGACTTACTTCACTTAATATAATTTTTTCCAAGCCTTTCCATTTTCTGACAAATGGGGCAATATCATTCTTTCTGATGGAGGCATAGAATTCCATTGTGTATATATACCACATTTTCTTGATCCATTCATCTACTGAGGGGCATCTGGGTTGGTTCCATATCTTAGCTATAGTAAATAATGCTGCAATAAACATAGTCGTGCTGGTAGCTTTAGTATAGTCTTGTTTGTAAACATTTGAGTAAATGCCCAAAAGTGCGATTGCTGGGTCATAGGGGAGCTTTATGTGGAGTCTTTTGAGGAACCTCCATACTGCTTTCCAAAGTGGTTGAATACAATGATTTTCTTAAAATAAAAATTATTATTTCCTAAGGAGGAGGCTACAATGCTTGATAGAAATATATCTTTCCCATGTAATTGTAACCCCTCTGTACAGTATTTTCACAATTAAAAAAAAGTATTTCCTTAAGTAAATTAGTGGAAAGCTCAGTTTCAATGTTCTTGTAAAATACTTCCCAATGCAAATAAAATTTTAAAACTTCATTTTTTTTATTATTCTGTTGTTGTGGTGAGTGGGGTGCTAGGTAAGTAGTCTTACCACTGAGCTTCATTCCCAGCCCTTACAAGTCTTTTTAATTAGGTATAGATACAAATATAGATACACTTTCTTATTTTTGAACTTGATACTAGCATGCCAGCACCCAAATGGACTTTCAAAAGGACTCTTAGAAATTGGATTGAAACTTAGTTTTTCTCCAAAAAAATTTCCAGTACTGGGAAAACCAGCATAAACCTAGAGCTTCTAACATGCTAGACAAATGAGTCATGCTCCACCCTTTTTGTATTTTTATCTTTGAGGTAAGGTCTTGTTCAGTTTGCCTTGACTGGCCTTGAACTTTCAGTATTACCTCCAGTTTTACTGGAATTTTGGTGGTGTCCTATCATGTCCACCCATTTTGCTTTTTGTATACAAAGTCCAGTGTAGTCTCATTTTCACAGTTCTACGTCAGCCTCTTGTAATATTTTTTACAAGTAAAGCTTATAAAATGCATGTAATAAAGAAATTAGAAATACCTGTGGAATTAGGAAATCGAATTCTTTGTGTCAGTGGAACTAGAACAGTATTTACGCACTCAGCAGAATATTTTGAATACTAGGCTGACAGTGGTAGCACATGTTTCTAATCCTAGTAAAAGAGGCATGAGGATTCTGAATTCAAGGCCAGTGAATTCTGTACAGTGAATTCTACGATAACTTGGACTACACAAAGAGATCCTAGCTCAAAAAGCAAAAGCTGATTGTATATTTAGTATCTTTCATATGATTGGTAGTATGTTGAATTTATGAAGTATTTCCTTAGGAAATGAATCACCAAGCTGGGCACTGATGGCTCCCTCCTATATTCCTTCTCAAGAGGCTGAGATCTGAGGATCATATTTAGAAGTCAGGTGGGCAGACAAGTCCATGAGACTCTTATCTCCATTTAACCAGCAAAAAACTGGAAATGGAGCTGTGGTCCAAATGGTAGAGCACCAGCCTTGAGCACAAAAGCTAAGAGCAGTGCCTAACCCCTGAGTTAGAGATAGGATCTTGTTCACTTCCCCTTGACAAAAATAAAAAAAGTCACCTAATGGCAGTTTAACTAGTAACCAAGGTTTATAATGGCTTGGGCAGCTATAAAAGTTTTATATTAGTTCTGTACCTTTGGCCATACTTTAACATGCCTATTTGGTTACTTGCAAGGAAACATTTTATATATCAGTAAGGGTCTAAGGAAGCAGTCTAGGCTTCTTTGAGTCATGTCTCCATGTCAAAAGTAAAGTGAAAGACTTATTGTCTCTTCATTTAGAAAAATCTGTTTCTAGCCTTTGTGTAGTATGTTTCAGGAGCTTAGACATAGTCCTGATTTGTTAATATATGTAAATATTCATGTGTGTGATTTTCATTTTAGGCTGATGTCCGGCCCCAAACAGATGGCTGTAATGGTTTGAGATATAATTTAACTTCTGATATTATTGAATCCATTTTTAGAACTTATCCAGCAGGTAAGACTTACTCTATTAACCTTCAGGTGGTTACAATATATATTTAGATGAATCTGTTACTATATCAATGAAAGAAAACTTTTCTTTATTCCTAAGTGCAATAAAATATGTAAAATCCTTGTTCTGTTTTTTGTGGGGGAGGGAGGTTTGGTTTTTGTGGTGGTGGTGGTGGTCGTCGTCGTGGGGGTTGAACTCTAGTCCTGGGCTCTGTCCCTCAGCTCTTCAGCTTAAGGCCAGTGCGCTACCACTTGAGCCATAGCGCCACTTCCAAAATACCTAGTACCCTACATATGATAGATATTAATGGCTCAGTAAATAATGTAGTATATAATTAATTCGTTAATACGATGGGTCTCATTTCTTGGGCACTGTCCCTTAGCTCTTTCTCTCAAAACTGGCTCTTTACCACTTGAACCACACCTCCACTTCTGGGTGTCATTTCTTTCTAGCAGTGTTTCTTAAACTTTAACCCTCAGTGCACCTGAGTAAAATGAATTTTCTATATTCATTTAATCACAAATATTCTTAAAATAGATATTATGATCATTATTTTACACATATATAAATGAACAAGGAAGCAAATTTAGGTCTGACTTCAAGGTTGTTGGTGTTTGCAGTGAAATTTAAGAAATTGGGCCAGGTATCTGTAATCCTAAGTATTCAGGAGGCTGAGATCTGGGGATCGTGGTTGGACACTATCCTGGGCAGAAAAGTCTCCCATGAGACACTTATCTCCAGTTAACCACTCAAAAACGAAGTGGAGCTGTGGTTCAAAGTGGTAGAGTACTAGCCTTGAGCAAAAGAGCTCTGGGACAACACCCAGGCCCTGAGTTCAAACCCCACAACCAACCAAAAAGAGAACTTAATTTTTACAGGTATTAATTTGCATATATACATGTGAAAAACTTAAACCATATTCACCCTCTCTGTTGGCCCTTCCCTCCCACCCACCAGTATCCACCTCTTAACATAGCCTACTTTATTTTCCTGTAATTCTTTTTTTAAAAAACAACTACTGTACAGAGGGATTCATCGTGGTAATTTACACATACACATAATTAGATTAACCTGATCTGTATCGTCTCCATCTTTTTTATCCCCTTGTTGAAGAATTTTTTATGTATAATGAGGTATTTTATCTAATTTGTGAAAGTTTGTAGATCTAGTTTCTCACCTAATCTCAAATTATATTTCATATTTATAACTAAATTGTAACAAATGGTATGCAGATATAAGAGCTTTAAATTCTAGTTTTTGGTTTTAGTCTGTGTTTCAGTTGAGAGAATATAAAAAATGAATATTGAGAGCCAGAGGCCAATGACTCATACCTGTAATCCTAGCTACTCAGGAGGCTAAGATCTGAGGATTGTGGTTCGGAGCCAGCCCAGGCAGGAAAGTCTGTAAGACTCTTATCTCAAATTAACCAGCAAAATGCCATAAATGGATCTGTGGTTCAAGTGGTAGAGCCCTAATCCTGTGCAATACTCAGGGACAGTGTTTAGAGCCCTGAGTTCAAGCCCCAGTCCCAGTACACAAAAAAAAGAAATGAATAATCAATATATAATTTCCTATGGGATTTTTTTCTTTACAGTAAAGATGAAATATGCAGAAAATGTTCCTCACAACATGACAGAAAAGGAATTTTGGACACGTTTTTTCCAGTCCCATTATTTTCATAGGGACCGGCTAAATACAGGGTCAAAGGATCTCTTTGCAGAATGTGCCAAAATAGATGAAAAAGGTAACTGTTTATCCCTATCCCTGATATACTCTAGTATCTAGTTGTTGGAGCTGTTATTTTGTTTTATGTTTGAGAAAGCTAAGCCTTGATGGACCTTTTATTTCATTGATTTTCTAGGGTTAAAAACAATGGTTTCATTAGGAGTAAAAAACCCACTACTAGATTTGACAGCTTTGGAAGACAAGCCATTAGATGAGGTAAGAAGCAATAAAAAGGAGTTTGAGGGGCTGGGAAAGTGGCTCAGTGGTAGAGTGCTTGCCTTGCATGCATGAGGCCCTGGGTTTGATTCCTCAGCACCATATAAGCAGAAAAAGCCAGAAGTGGCACTGTGGCTCAAGTGGCAGAGTGCTAGCCTTGAGCTGAAGAGCTGAGGGACAGCGCCCAGGGCCTGACTTCAGGCCCCAGGACTAAAAAAAAAAGGAATAAATAAATAAAATAAAATAATAAAAAGGAGTTTGAGGTAAAGCAGTCTTTTCCTAGATTCTAGAAAATTATTATTTTTATAATTTAAAAATAAGCTGAAAAGTATAGATGTTCACTTGTGAGATTGTAAGATAAGCAAAATACTGATAAATCTTAAAGCCTTGGGTTTGATCTCCATCCCCAAAAGATATGCTTTTGGTAGTGCTATTTATTGTAAAAACTGCCTTGAATGTGCCAGGCAACAGTGGCTCCCATTTGTCTTAGCTGAGCTCTGAGGATAGAGGTTCAGAGCTAACCCAGATAGAAAAGGATGTGAGACTTCATTGCCAGTTAACTAGTAAAAAGCCAGAAATGAAGTTGTGGCTGAAGTAAAAAATGCTAGACTTGAGCAGAAAAAGTTGAAGGACAGTCCCACTCTTGAGTTCAAATTCCCCCAGCACAGCTCTGATATATGATGACATGCTAACACTTTTTAGAAACATTTTCACTCTCCTATGAGCAATTTTCCAGCTAATTATGAAAACTTAACATAGTAAGGTAACCTTACTTTAAAGAAATATAAATATTAGTAGATAAGTAGATTTTTCTACTCTCTGAAAAAACTTGGCCCACAGCAGCCCAAGTGTGTTTCAGCAACTATGCTATCAAGTATGAGCTACTTAATGGCACCATTACTCCAGTTAAACAGACTTTTTCATTCACTGAGAAAGAAGCAATTTCTTTTGCTTCCCATTTTCTGGTCCAAAAATCTGTCATTATTCTTCATTTTCTTAGCCTTCTTTGAGCTCCTTTTGTATATACTTTTGTATATACTTTTAATATACTTACAGCTTCCTTTATTGGTTTTTTTTCCTCCTATCTTACCCTCTTAGTTTCAGTATATGTCATCACCAAGTGAAGAAAAACTACTGTTAAAATTTTATGCTAGCTGGTCATCAGTAGCTCATGCCTGTAATCCTAGCTACTCAGGAGGCTGAGATCTGAGGGTCGCAGTTCAAAGCCAGCCAGGGCAAGAGAGCCCATGAACCTCTTATCTCCAATAAACCACCAGAAAACTGGAAGTAGAGCTGTGGCTAAAGTGGTAGAGTACTCGCCTTGAGCTGAACAGTTGAGGGACCATGCCAAGGTCCAGAGTTCAAGCCCCACAACGGGAAGGGGAGGAGGGAATTATGCTACATTCTAATTATAAACTAACAAAATAATATTTGGTGCTCAGATGAGTCATTTCCTTGATGAAATTCAGTTATTTTCTTGTTAGTTCTCCCAACTCAGTAGTTTCTTTGGTGAATTGGAGCACATTATAAAATAGCTCTTTTTTAATCATTCTGAGGTAATGCATAGTGAAAATTACAGATACAGTTCTGAATGGTGGGGCAAAATAATTTTTTAATGGCATATTGTACATGCAACTTTGAAGCATTTCTTTTCACTTTATTATCAATATGCCATACTAAATATACCAAAGTTTGGTGTTTATTTGTTTTGAGACAATCTTACTAAGTTGCTTAGGCCAACCTCAAACTCAATTCTGCCTCCCCATCTAGTATCTGTGATTATCGGAAATTGCACCAGGCTCTACTATATAGTCTTTAAAACCAAACTACCTGACTCCAATACTGATCTAAAAAAACAAACAAAAAAACCCCCACATATCTAAGCTCACTTGTTTTTGGTTTTTAATTAGTTAGATTAACAGTACGAGGCTATTTTACAGGCTATAGAGGATATGAGGGCAATCTGGCTATAATATGTTACCTCATTGATTGCCAGTGGTGATTCAGCTGATCTGTCTGGCTAGGCAGGTATCTCCTTCCTGATAGAGGAACTGTTCTTCTCAAAGGTATACCTCCATCCAAACTTTCAAGAGAGGCTGAAGAAGGTATAGGTCAGTGATAAGAGTTCAAGCTTATCTTGTGTGATGTCCTGAGTTCCATTCCCAGCACTGCCCAAAAGACAGTTTAAAGAGCCTACTGAGCCAGGCACCGGTGGCTCACGCCTGTAATCCTAGCTACTCAGGAGGCTGAGATCTGAGGATCACGTTCAAAGCCAGCCCAGGCAAGGAAAGTCCCTGAGACTCTTATCTCCAATAAACCACTCAGAAAACCAGAAGTGGCGCTGTGGCTCAGGTGGTAGAGCACTAATTCATCTTGGGCTGAAGAGCTGAGGAACAGCGCTTAGGCCCAGAGTTCAAGCCCCATGACCGACAAAAAAAAAAGAGCCTACTTCATATGCTCCATGAATAACATGTTATTGCCATTATCTATATTTTTAAATGTCTCCATAGTATTCCATTAATACAACCAATCCCTTTCATAGAAATAGTATTGATTCTATTTTTCCTCTTTCTACCTCTATTTTTTTTTTTTTTTTTTTGCCGGTCATGGGGGCCTGAGCTCTGGGCCTGGGCACTGTCCCTCGGCTCAGCTCTTCAGCTCAAGGCTAGCACTCTACCACTTGAGCCACAGTGCCACTTCCAGCATTTTCTGCTTATGTGGTGCTGAGGAATCGAACCAAGGGCCTCATGCATGCAAGGCAAGCACTCTACCACTGAGCCACCTTCCCATCCCCCACCTCTACTTATTTTAACTGTTAACAGGATAGGATCTCAAGCCTCCCAAATGCATTGTTTCATAAACACTTAATTATGTAATGATGAATCTCTAATTTCCCTCATCTCACTCCAGACCTCCAAATCATTCAAATTACCTGCTTGATGTCTCTAAGATATTTCATAGGCATAAGCCCCAGGACCAACACACACACAAACATAAAAAGGTGTAAAGGGTAAGGCATATAACTCAGTGATAACGTTTTGTTAGCAGGTATAAGACCATGCAGCTAGCATAGAATTGGGGAGGGGGCAGAATTTTAAAAATATTTTTGTACTAAAAGGACTTTGTATTACTAATTATGGGTAAAATACCACTTGTTCTTAAACATTTTCTAGTAAATATGTAGAAATGTTGTTGAGAATAAAGTGTGTTGGGTTCTGGTGGCTCACACCTATAATCTTAGTTACTCAGGAGACAGAAATCTGAAGATTGTTTTGAGAAGAAAGATTGGAAGTCAGCTGAGGCAGAAAAATCCATGAGACTCTTATTTCCACCCTACCAAAAAGCTGGAAGTAGAGGTGTGGTTCAAGTCGCCCAGCACTAGCCTTGAGTGAATAGCCCAAGCAAAGATGAGGCTCTGAGTTCAAGCCTCAGTATGGTATAAAAAGAGTCCTGTGATTTTTTTTTTTTCAAATAAGCAGGTCTTTTTTATATAATAGATGAAAAAAAAGGCAGAACCTTACTTTGATTTTAATCTACAAAATTGTTTCCATAGGGCTATGGCACTTCCTCAGTGCCATCGACTTCCAATTCTAAGTCCATAAAGGAGAATAGCAATGCTGCAATCATCAAGAGGTTTAACCACCACAGTGCCATGGTTCTGGCAGCTGGTCTCAGGAAACAGTTAAGTATACATGGAAAGATTTGGTCACTAGGCTTTTCAGAATATCCAAGTGGAGTTGTGGTGAGTTATGCTTGTAGTTTTAACATTAATGTTTTTCCCTTTGTTTTTAAGACAAGCACAAAATGAACAAAATGGTGAACCCAGCCGCATGGATGGAAATTCTGGAGATGCTGACTCCTTTCAGCCAGCAATAAAAAGGGTATGGGCACAAAATTTGGGCCAGTTAGAGCTTGGGTTTCTCCAGATATAAAGTATCTACAAATACTTTGTGTTGCTTATTTCATATGACTTAGCATTTCTGACCAAGATGCATTAGGCTTGGCATTTAAGCCTTAGCACTAAAAAAAGACTTTAAAAATAAGAATGACAGACAGAGGATCCCTTTTTTCTCTCCCTTTAGTCACTTGCACTGCCACCTGAACCATGACTAAAACTTCTCCCCCTTTATTAAGTATTCTTTATTATTATTAAGTACTTGTCCAAAGGCATTTCAATTCCGCCTTGATCAATGTTACCCCTTCCATTGTTCTCTCCCAACATTTAATGGTTTTTATGATGGGTTTATCAAGGATTAAGTGCATTTTCAATTTAGTTTTGGTTTTATCAGGGTATGGCACTATTTAAAGTAGTGGAGCATCTGTATTGCATCAAAGGGTTTATGGAACTGGTATGGTAGTACATGCCTGTATAATCACAGTATACAGGAGGATCACAAGTTCCATGCCAGTCAGGGTTAGACCCTGTGTCAAAATTTAAAATTTAAGCCAGTGGCTCATGTCGTAATTCTACCTACTCTGGAGGCTCAGATCTGAGGATTGTGGTTCAAAGTTAGCCTCAGCAGGAAGTCCATAAGACTTACCTACAATTAACTACCAGAAAATTGGAAGTAGCGCTGTGATTCAAAGTGGTAGAGCTCTAACCTTGAGCAAAAGAGCAAAAAAGGGATAGTGCCCAGGCCCTGTGACCTTAGAGGGGGGTGGTGGGAATTAATTTTTTTCAAAGGATATTTTATAAACTGGGCACCAGTGGCTCACACCTGTAATCCTAGCTACTCAGGAGGCTGAGATCTAAGGAATGCAGTTCAAAGCCAGTCTGGGCAGGGAAAGTCTGTGAGACTCTTTATCTCCAATTAACCACCAGAAAACTAGAAGTGGTGCTGTGGCTCAAGTGGTAGAGTGCTCACCTTGAGCTGAAGAGCTCAGAAACAGTACCCAGGCCCAGAGTTCAAGCACCACAAGCAGCAAAAGAAAAATAAACAACAAAAAAAAGGTACTTTATAGCAAAAGAAGTTTAGGAACTAAGACCTTCAAAAAAAGGTGGTTATCTTTCAGTAGTAGTTGCTTCATTAATGCATTTCTGTGAAGGGATAAATGAATACTATTTATTTCACTACTTTATTGTGTTTCCATGGGTTTATATTAACATTTAAAATGAACAAAGGCAATGAAATACTTCAAAACAAAGTCAGTGAGATACTTCATTTAATTAAGTAAGATTAAGATATAAATTACACCTGGGTTCTAATGGCTCACACCTGTAATCATAGCTACTCAGGAGCTGAGATCTGAGGATCATGCTTTGAAGTAAGTCCAAACAAGAAAGTCTGTGAAACTCTTATCTACAATTGGCCACTCTAACAGTGGAAATGGAGATGTGGCTCAAGAACTGAGTGCCAGCCTTGAGTGAAAAAGCTAAAAAAAAGACCATGCCCAATCTCAAGCCTCATTACTTGCATTAAAAAATACATAAATAAAAGATACGTAAGTTATAGAGATTGTAGAAATCTAAAAAGTGATGTGTTTTTTTGCAATACTGTGCCCTAAATTAAATACCCTTGATTTATGGTAGTGAACTATCAGAAATTTTTGTTTTCCAATATTGATTTTTACAGTATTCAATAGTAAATGCTGCCTCAGAATATTTCTGTACAGTCTTTCAGTTGTTAAGTGTTGTATACTTTACAACAATTTTATAAAATAAGTAATTCAAAAGTAATAGTTGGGAGAAAAAAGTAATCATTACCTGAGGATGTAGTTCAATAGTAGAGTACGTGGCTAACATGAATAAGACCCTGGCTTCACATCTAAGTACCACCACCACCAAAGCCAGGTACCAGTGGCTCATGCCTATAACCCTAGCTGCTCAGGAGGCTGAGATCTGAGGACCTTGGTTTGAAGTCAGCCAGGGCAGGGCAGTCTGTGAGACATCTCCAATTAACCACAAAAACAACAGGAAGTGGCACTGTGGCTCAAGTGGAAGAGCACTCACTTTGTGCTGAAGAGCTCAGGGACATTGCCCAGGCCCAGAGTTCAAGCCCCACGCACCCCCCCCCCCAAAAAAATTCACGCAATTTCCCCAGGCTGGCTTTGAACTGTGATACCTCAGATCTCAGCCTCTTAAGTAGCTAGGGTTACAGTCATGCGCCCCCAGCACTGGCTAAAATGCAAACTTTAATGTATCAGATTGATAAAAATTAAAGGTTCTGTAATTCTTAATACAACCAAAATGTAGGAATACAGTGATTTTTAAGTGATTGGTAAGAAAATTGGTTCAGCCAAGAAAAACGTCATTTCTAGCTCATAGTAAGAAAACTTTTTTTTTTTTTTTTTTTTGCCAGTCTTGGGGCTTGAACTCAGGGCCTGTGCACTATCCCTGAGCTGCTTTTGCTGAATTCTAGCCCTCTACCACTTGAGCTAGAGTGCCATTTCTGGCTTTTTCTGTTTCTGTGGTACTAAGGGATCAAACCCAGGGCTTCATGCATGCTAGGCAAGTATTCTACCACTAAGCCACATTCCAAGCCCTAAGAAGACATTTTTTATCCTACACAGCATTTATTACTTAAATAGGAGAAAGTTACTGACCAAAAGTATTATGTTAACAATTACAGGCAAAGTTACAAGAGTCCATTGAATATGAAGACTTGGGAAAAAACAATTCCATTAAAACAATTGCACTAAACCTCAAGAAGTCAGATAGGTAAGTTTGATCAATGATAAATTAAGTTGAAGCAGAATAGTTTCATAACAAAATTATGCATCTTAGGAAAGCATCCTAAATCATCGAAATAAATTTTGGAGTTTTATGTTCTCTTTATTGCCTTTATAGGATTTTTAACTGTTGTATCTTTCTCTTTCTTGAGAAGAAATGTATTGCTCACTAAAGTGTTTAAAAGACAAATATTGAGCACCTTTACTCTGTGATTATTTCTTGTGTGCTACCTTTAGGTATTATCATGGTCCAACTCCAATCCAGTCGCTACAGTATGCAACAAGTCAGGATATTATTAATTCTTTTCAAAGTATTAGACAAGAAATGGAAGCTTATACACCCAGATTAACTCAGGTAGGTAATTTGTTCTATTTAAAGACCAGAATTCTTATTGTCCTGTACAGGAACATCCACAATGAACTATACAAGTAACATTTTAATTAGGTATAAAGACACATTTCTGTTAGGAAATGTGGGCTCACACTTGTAATCCTAGCTACTCAGGAGTCTAAGATATGAGGATTGAGACTTGAAGCCATCCCAGGAAGACAAAACCCCGCCTATGAAAATAGACAAGGGGTTGCCGGGCGCTGGTGGCTCACGCCTGTAATCCTAGCTACTCAGGAGGCTGAGATCTGAGGATCGCGGTTCAAAGCCAGCCCAGGCAGGAGAGACCGTGAGACTCCTGTCTCCAATAAACCACCAGAAAACCGGAAGTGGCGCTGTAGCTCAAGTGGTAGAGCGCTCGCCTTGAGCTGAAGAGCTGAGGGACAGCGCCCAGGCCCAGAGTTCAAGCCCCACGGCCGACCAAAAAAGAAAATAGACAAGGGGGCCTGGGAAGGTGGCTCAGTGGCAGAGTGCTTGCCTTGCATGCATGAGGCCCTGGGTTCAATTCCTCAGCACCACATAAGCAGAAAAAGCTGGAAGTGGCGCTGTGGCTCAAGTGGTAGAGCGCTAGCCTTGAGCTGAAGAGCTCAAGGGACAGCACCCAGGCCCAGAGTTCAGGCCCCATGTCCAGCAAAAAAAAAGAAAAAGAAAATAGACAAGGGGTCAGAGCTGGTAATCTTGACACTTAGTGCAAATAACCAGCAAAAAGCCAGAGGGTAGACCTGTGGCTAAGTGGTGGAATGCCAGTCTCTAGAGAAAAGGCTCGGGGACAGAGCCCAGGTCCTCAATTCAAGCTCCAGTAACACACACACACACAAAAAAAAATTAAGTAAATTGAAAAAAAAAATCCAAAAGTAGAAAAAAGGGTGTTTGTCAAGAAGGATCTGAAAACATAAAAATAATGAGTTTTTGTTTGGTAGTATTGGGGGTGAGGGGGTAGGAGGGAGTCTGGTCGTGGGGCCTGAACTCTGGGCCTGGGCTCTGTCCCTCAGCTCTTCAGCTCAAGGCTAACGCTCTAACACTTGAGCCACAGCACCACTTCCGGCTTTTTTTCTTTTGCTTATGTGGTGCTGAGGAATCGAACCCAGGGCCTCATGTATGCAAGGCAAGCGCTCTACCACTGAGCCACCTTCTCAGCCACTATTTGGTAGTATTTTATTCTTATATACTTGGTTTTAGTTGGACAGCCATGCATATTGCCAAGTTACTTTTTGACATAACTATGAGTATTCTACATGACCTCAAACCCAGAATGTATAAAATGGTGTTTGTTACTTTTTCTTTTTTTTAATCCTTCACACTTAAGTTAGAAAGTTCCATCAGTTCCTCCTTGAATATTTCTAGACCTGTGTGTGACTCAGGTGGTAGAGCATCTGCAAAGCTAGCATAAAATAATCATAGTAATTTTTTACTCCAACAGCTTAGTTGAGGTAATGTTATTGCACATTATCTAAAAAAATTCAGTCTCATCACTGCAGCTTATTTTATAATGCCTCTTTTTTCTTGCTAGTTAGTAGATTGAGTGCTGCTTTCTGTCAGTAATACCTTTTACCCCCTTATCCCCAACTTAGGTGGTAAAACCAAAAAGGAAGAGAGTCACATACCCAGACTAGGGGGCATTGGTAGAAAGGAAGGAGAAAGGAGGAAGGGGGAAAAGTGAGTAATAAGGACTAGATATAGAGGCAGTAAAAAGGAGGGTAGTAAAAGGAGGCTAGGTGAATATAATTGGTGTACATAATAGGCATGGACAGAACTATCATAGTGAATCCCATTCATTTTTAACATTAATATGTGTTAGTGTTAAATTAACCTTTTTGGGGGGGTTGTGGGGCTTGAACTCTGGGCCCAGGTGCTTTCCCTGCATTCTTCAGCTCAAGGCGAGCACTCTACTGCTTGAGCCACCACTTAGGTTTTCTAGTGGTTTATTGGAGATAAGAGTTTCAAGGAGTTTCCTGTCCAGGCTGGCTTTGAACGGTGATCCTCAGATCTCAGCCTCCTGAGTAGCTAGGATTAAAGGCGTAAGCCACTGGTGCCCGGCACTAAATTGACCTTTCCAGTCCCATCTTCAGCCAATCTCCACTACTCCTTTCTACACATAGCTAAGAGTTCAATAATACATTGTTGTTCTTTTTTCTTTTTCTGTCGTCTTGGGGCTTGACTCAGGGCCTTGGCACCATCCCTGACTTTTTTCACTCAAGGCTAACACTCTGCTGTTTGAGCCACAACACCACTAATGGTTTTCTGGTGGTTAATTGGAGAGGAGTCTCACAAACTTTTCCTGCCCAGCCTGGCTTCCAACTGCCATCAATCCTCAGATCTCAGCTTCCTGCGTAGCTAGTTATAGGTGTGAGCCATTGGTGCCCGGGCTAGATATCCAGTCTTGATAATCACATCATAAATTGGTTTTTTTTCTGGGCTTTTTCATTTAATATTTCCATATCATAATTGAATATAACAGACTGAAGTCTCAGAAAGCAAAACTACTAATAGGAGGAAGCTATTATTAGAATATAAGTTTTCTACCCAGACTGTGATCTCAGGGAAGTTGTTAACTGTCATTGCTATAAAGTATTAATACAGGGAAAAAAATACTTTATTGCACCTTTTACTATAAAACTCAAATATTAAGTAACAACTGACAAAAGAGGAATTTTTTTTTTGTCTTATTTCTTTCAGGTCCTCTCAAGTAATGCTGCTAGCAGTACCATCACAGCACTATCACCTGGAGGAGCACTTATGCAGGGAGGGGCACAGCAAGCCATAAACCGTACGCACTCTGGGCAACCTTCTACTTCTATCCTTTTGTCCCTTTTGTCAATAAACTCTAAAGAGCAAGCCTTGCTTTTTCTTTGAGACAATTCTGGAATTGGGGGATTGGGACCTCATGCATGTTAAACATGCACTGTACTACTGAGCTCTACTGGCACCTTAAGTGGTTATTTTTAGAGACTGTATGGAAAATAGCTTTTATCGTATGGACCTCTTTTTTTTTTTTTTTTTTTTTTTTGCAGAGATGGTGCCAAATGATATTCAATCTGAATTGAAACACTTGTATGTGGCTGTTGGAGAACTTCTCCGGCATTTCTGGTCTTGCTTTCCTGTTAATACACCATTCCTAGAAGAAAAGGTTAGAACCTAAGTAATATCTTAGATTTTTTTTTGGTACTGGGAATCAAACCCAGAATGGTGCACTTGCTATGCAAGCACTTTGCCACTGAGCTATATCCCAGCCCTTTAGATGTTATTTTGAAGTTAGAAAATGTTACTCTGTTTACCATGGCACTAATAGAACTACTATTTATTTCATTTAAGCCTTCCAGCACCTTCATGGAGATAGTATTAATTATAAATTCATGTCATAGATAAGGAAACTGAGATCCAGAGTTGTTCCATAACTGTTGAAAATACAACTTAAATCTATTTCCAAGCCACAATAAATAATAGAAGAGAAACCCAAAACAAATCATATATATATATATAATTATTTGAGTCAGACACCTATAATTCTAATTGCCCAGAAAACTGAGATCTGGGGACCACAGTTCAAACCAGCCCCAGCAGAGAAATCCCTAAGATTCTTAACTTCCAATTATCCAGCAAAAAGCTGGAAATGGGAGTGTGGCTCAAGTGGTATAACACCAGCATTGAACAAAAAAGCTAAGGAAGTATGCAAGCCTGTGAGTACAAGCCCCAGTATCAACATAAAAATCATTTATTTTAGAGCTGTTTCTCAAGTGGTAGGGCACTTCTAGCAAGCCCAGTCTCATGCTAATAAATAAAATTATGGGGGGTAACTAAAGAGTGAACCCAGAGCCTTATGCATGTTGGGCAATTACTACTACTCATCTACATCCCCAGACCTGTACTAGCTATTTAACAAACACTTTTAGCCAGTTAAAGGACAGGTAACAAGTAGAAAAAATACTTATGCCATTAATAGTAATGAAAGCTTTCTTGTGTAGATTGCTCATGCCCTGTAATCCTAGCTACTTAGGAAACTAAGATCTGAGGATCGCAGTTCAAAGCTAGCCTGTGCTGAAAGCCCATGAGACTCCAATTAACTACTAAAAAAGCCAGATGTGGAACTGTGGCTCAGTGAAAGAGCGCTAGCCTTGAACTTTAAAAAAGTTTTAAAAAAGCACTCAAACCCTGAGTTCGAGCCCCAGGACCAGCACAAAAAAAGTAAAAAATTGTTTGTGAAGCTTGTGCTTAGCATGCTTGAGGTCCTGGGTTCAATTCCTGATAACAAAAGAAAGAAAAGAAGGAAGGAAAGGAGGGAGGGAGGGAGGGAAGGAAAAGAAGCATGGGACTTGGGCTGGGAAGGTGGCTCAGTGGTAGAGCGCTTGCCTTGCATGCATGAAGCCCTGGGTTTGATTCCTCAGCACCACATAAGCAAAAAGAAAAAAGCTGGAAGTGGCGCTGTGGTAGAGTGCTAGCCTTGAGCTGAAGAGCTGAGGGACAGCACCCAGGCCCAGAGTTCAAGCCCCACAACCAGACTCCCCCCCCCCCAAAAAAAAAAAAAGAAGAAGCAACAGCATGGGACTGTCTGAAAAATAAAGCAAAAAGGGATTGGTAGTATGCTTCAAATGTTAAGAAAGGCAGAAGACCTAATGGGCAGCGCATTAAAGATGAAAGTTGCTGCCAACAGTAGTAGCACATATCTATTCTCTGAGCTCTCAGAAGGATCTCAAATTTAAGGATAGTCTGAACTACGTAGCAAGTGCTAGTTTTTGTTTTTACTTAATGGGCACCAGTGGTTCATGCCTATAATCATAACTACTCAAAAAGCCAAAAGTAGCACTGTGACTTAAGTAGTAGTCGCCTTGAATAAACAAGCTAAAGGACAGTACCAGGCCTTGAGTTCAATCCCTAGTAGTACTCAAAAAAATAAAATGCAAGTGGCTACAATTAAACACAACAACAACAAAAATCTCACATATTTGCCACCCATTAATTTGCAAAAAAAAAACCTCAAAATGTCTGCTTTTGCTCCACATTACTAAAAGTCCTTTTATAAAACTGCTAAATTCTTTGATATAGAAAATTGTCATTTAGAAATTTACCCTAAAGCTGGGCACCAATGGCTTATACCTGTAATCCCAGCTACTCAGGAAGCTGAGATCTGAGGATTGAGGTTCAAAACCAGCCCAGGCAGGAAAGTCCATGAGATTCTTACCTCCAATAAACCACTCAGGAAACTGGAAGTGGCACTGTGGCTCAAGTGGTAGAGCGCTCACCTTGAGCTAAAGAGCTGAGAGACAGCATTCAGGCCCAGAGTTCAAGCCCCACAACCGACCAAAAAGAAAGAAAGAAAGAAATTTACAGAGATGTGAAGTCGAAAAGTAGAAATGGCCTATAATATCTACTAAAAAGGGATTAATGATATGATGCACTTATACATTGAAATATTGTACATCTGTTTAAAACAGTGTGTTAGATCAGCTTTAGGTGAAGGTAACCCAAGTGCAGTTCTTTTTTTTTTTAATTTTATGCCAGGACCTGAGCACCATCCCTGAGCTTTTGTACTAAGGGTAGTGCTCTACCATTTGAGCTACAGGTCCATTTCCAGCTTTTTGATAGTTAATTGGAGATAAGTCAAGGCCTTTCTTGCTTAGGCTGGGTTTGAACCCAGGTCCTCATATCTCAGCCTCTTGAGTTCCTAGGATTATAGGCATGAGCCACAGATGCCCAGCTTCCAAGTGCAACTTTTAAAAATAGTATATGTTCTTGTTTTTTTTTGCCAATGTATATTTATGTACATATAAATAAAAAATAGAATGATACAAATTATGGACCAAGATGTTAAGTAGTAGAGTTTTATTTCTTTTACATTTTTCAAAATTTTGTGTGCCGAGCACTGGTGGCTCATGCCTGTAATCCTACTCATAAGGCCGAGATCTGAGGATCTTGGTTCAAAGCCAGCCCGGGCAGCAAAGTCCATGAGACTCTCATCTCCAATAACCCACCAGAAAACCGGAAGTAGTGTTGTGGTAGAGTAGTGGTAGAGCACTAGCCTTGAGCTGAAGAGCTGAGGGACAGTACCCAGGCCCAGAGTTCAAGCCCCACGACCAACTGAAAAACAACAAATTGTATCGCAACTTTCCTAAGGTAGTTTCTTTTTCTTATTACCTACAGTGTCTTAATTCTCATCATTTTTTTTTTTAGGTAATGAAAATGAAAAGTAATTTGGAACGGTTCCAAGTTACGAAGCTCTGCCCATTCCAAGAGAAAATTCGGAGACAGTATTTAAGCACAAATGTAAGGCAACAGATGTTTACCTTATTTTCTTACTGTTCATATGTAAATGACATTAACTCTGCTCTTATGTAAATGAATACTTTGTTTCTTCTGTTGCTGAATTACTATTTTTTTAATTGTAAAATGTGTCATACAGTCAGAAGTATGTAAAATATATGTATCCAACAGTTATCAGTGAAAGTAGTGGGATAACATTCATAAATGTTCTGAATGCTCCTGTCCAGATAGTTGCACACATCCCACCTACAGAGATCATGACTAACTAGCATTTCTTTTTTTCTCTTTTGTCGGTCGTGGGGCTTGAACTCTGGGCTTGGACGCTGTCCTTGCGCTCTTAAGCTCAAGGTGAAGCGTTCTACCACTTGAGCCACAGTGCCACTTCTGGTTTTCTAGTGGTTTATTGGAGATAAGAGTCGCACAGACTTTCCTGCCCAGGCTGGCTTTGAACCGTGATCCTCAGATCTCAGCCTCCTGAGTAGCTAGGATTATAGGCGTGAGCCACCGGCGCGTTTCTGACCATCTCTATGTTTTGCTTTATAGGTGATACACTTATGTAAATGTTCCAAAACAAATCTACATTACTAATTTAAGAAAACTAAGTAGCACTCATAAACCAGTCAATGTAAAGAAAGGCACAATTGGGCTGGGAATGTGGTTTAGTGGTAGAGTGATTGCCTAGTACGCATGAAGCCTTGGGTTCAATTCCTTAGTACCACATAAACAGAAAAGGCTGGAAGTGGTGCTGTGGCTCAAGAGAGGTAGAGTGCTAGCCTTGAGCATAGAGAGGCCCAGGGACAGTTGCCCGGGCCATTTGGTGAATAAGAGGTGTCACTATGTGTCTAGGGTTTTTTTTTACCCCAGTCCTGGGTCTTGAACTCAGGGCCTGTGCACTGTCCCTGAGTTGCTTTGCTCAAGGCTAGCATTCTACCACATGAGCCACAGTGTCACTTCTAGCTTTTTCTGTTCATGTGATGCTAAGGAATCGAGCCCAACCAAGGCTTCGTGCATGCTAGGCAAGTATTCTACCACTAAGCCATATTCTCGGGTTCTTTTGTTTTTAAAGCAAAGCTTTGCTGGACACTGGTAGCTCATGCCTATAATCCTAGCTATTTAAGAGTCTGAGATCTGAGAATCACAGTTCAAAGCCAGCCCAAACAGGAAAGTCCATGACACTTATCTCTAGTAAACAACCAGAAAACCAGAAGTGGAGCTGTGGTTTGAAGTGATAGAGTGCTAACCTTGAGGGAAAAAAAAGATAGCTCAGGGATAGCACCCAGGCGCTGAGTTCAAGCCCTACAACTGACAAACATTTTTTTTTTTTTTATTTCTTAAACATTCTAAGTGGAGGGGCTGGGAAAGTGGCTCAGTGGTAGAGTGCTTGCCTTGTATGCATGGGGCCCTGGGTTCGATTCCTCAGTACCACATAAGCAGAAAAAGCCAGAAGTGGTGCTGTGGCTCAAGTGGTAGAGCACTAGTTTTGAGCTGAAGAGCTAAGGGACAGTGCCTAGGCCCAGAGTTCAGGCCCCATGATGGGGGGGGGAGGGACGACAAACATTCTAAGTGGATTTACTTAGAAAAGAAACTTGGAGCATGTTTCCACAACACACAGAGGATAGCAAGTAGATTTCATATCTTTTTTTTTTTTTTTTGGTGCCCATCCTAAGGCTTGAACTCAAGTCACTTGAGCCACAGTTCTACTTCTGGCTTTTTGGTGGTTAATTGGAGATAAAGAGTGTCACGGATTTTCTTGCCTGGGCTGGCTTTACACAGCAGTTCTTATATCTCAGCCTCCTGAACAGCTAAGATTATAGGCATGAACCACTAGTGCCCAGCTTAGATTTCATGTCTTATACCTTCTCAGTTGTTTATAAAGCACAGTGTTGACAAGTTTTCTGAAGCCATGTGTAGCTTTGTAGTAGGATGTGCTGATCATCTGATAGAACTATATGAAGCCACTGCTGTCCACTGAGCAGTACAAGCAATTTTTTTTAATGTTCCAGACAGAGCTTAATAGCATAATCTCCTCCCCCTACCATGATAATAGATGTGTCAAATGGGGGGAATGGGATTTCTGGAATTGAACCCAGTACCTCATACACTCTAGACAAACATTCTACCACTGACTAAACTCTTGGGTTAGGAAAGGCTTTTTTTTTCTTTTTAATTCTGTATTAGATTAAAGCCATTGACATACTTAAAAGCAAACTTTATAAGACTTTAGTTATATTTATGATGAAGTCAGAACTCTTAAAGATCTATAGTTGTGGGGCTGGGAAGGTGGCTCAGTGGTAGAGTGCTTACCTTGCATGCACGAGGCCTTGGATTTGATTCCTCAGCACCTCATAAGCAGAAAGGCCAGAAGTGGTGCTGTGGCGCAAGTGGTAGAGTGCTAACCTTGAGCTGAAGAGCTGAGGGACAGCACCCAGGCCCAGAGTTCAGACTCCACGACCGACAAAAAAAAAAGCTATAGTTGTAAACTAAGATGGGATGACATACACTGTGAAGCATTGAAACTATTTGGATTTTTTTGTGATCTATACAACTATATAGCATTCTTGACATGTTGCGGCTTGACAAGAATATTAAACATAAATAGCTGGGCACCAGTGACTCACATCTGTAATTCTACCCCCTCAGGAGGCTCAGATTTAAGAAGATTGGGGTTCAAATCCAACCAAGGTTAAAAAAAAATCCATGAGATTCTCATCTCCAATTAACCAGCAAAAAATCTGTACTGGAGATGTGGCTCAAGTGATAAAAGCACTAGCTATGATCAAGAAAGGTGATTGTAATCACAAGTCAACATAGAAGAGGACTTGGGATATAGCTCAGTGACAGAGTGCCTTCCTATCATGCAGAGGGCCCTGGGTCCTTTCTTTCAGAAACACACATGAGAAAAAATAGGTTTCACAGAGTTGTGAATCCAAGATTGCTGGGGCTTGATAGAGTACATGTTTAGCATGTGTTAGGCCCTAAGTTTGCCAAAGATCAAATCTTCAAAGAGTAAGGCATTTTTCAAATATTCTAAAGACAATGTTGATGTAATCCAATATGTGGATCTAGAAATAACCAGCTTAGTTCAGCTTCCTCATTTACCTCTTGTCTGATTGTTGGTTAATGACCAAGCAACATCAAAACCCAGACAGAGCAAGTGAGCTTCCAGCCACTGTACCACACCCAGCATTTCTCCTTTCCATACAAAATGTGTTTACATTTTTTTTAAGGGCTTGCCAGTTGCCTCATTGAGGAAGTGCTCGTGGGCTGGGGAAGTAGAAAGCATGTGCCAGGTTTGGGTCAGAAACAAGTGTCTCCTGCCCTTTCCTATTTGTTACGTGTCCTTCCATGTCTTTCAGTTGGTAAGTCACATAGAAGAAATGCTCCAGACAGCCTACAACAAGCTTCATTCATGGCAGTCACGGCGCCTTATGAAGAAGACGTGAGGTGTTCATGGTTTAATGAAATTGAGAAAACTGTGACCTGCAGTGACTCTGGAGACCTGGCCTGACAGACATGCAGATGCCCATAAAGGAGAAAAATCTGCAGCATGCCAACTCCCAGAGCATATGCTATTGTACTTGCACATTGGGAACTGAAGGGAAGGAAGGGACCTTGACTCAACTAAATGCTGGGGGGAGGTAAATTAAGGCAGAACCAAATGAGCTAAGTTGCAAATATATTTGAATATGTATTACATATATATGTGTGTGCATATATATGTATATAAAGACTGTTTACTGCAGTTACTCAGGAACTGCTTTTGATTGATATTAAGCTGCTTTGAGAAATTTTTTTTTAAAAACTTAAAGAGTGCATTGATAAAAATCTGAGGTTTTTTTGTTTTGTTTTGTTTTTGTAAATTTTTTTTCTTAAGTTTATGGCACAGGGTAGACCTTAAGTATTTCTCCTCCATCCTCCACTTGGACCCTCAAGTTTTACTGAATTCTAGTTGTACCTTATATCAGCAAGTTAAGGAGAGTACTTTAAAATAAAGCGAGGGAAACTGTTGTTCAACCATCAGGAAACAGTTGTAGTCAGAAGACATCATTGGTCCTGTGTTTCCTAAGGAAATAAGAATAAATATTGCACTGAGTGTGGTTTGGAGTCCCTAAGTAAAGGGGGATCATATTTACAGAAAGTCGTGTGTGGGGTTTTAATGCAGAATTTTGTCAGAAGACAATGGCGCTGCATGTTTAAGTGCAAATGTATATTGCTAAGATTTTTTAAAAGATGGCATGTGCTTTGAGAAGAGGAAGTTGCATTTTTAAGAGTTTAAAAATCTTACGAGTGAGAAATATAAAAATCTTACTTATTTTCACCTCTAGAAGAAATAAAAGATGTTTCTCATACCGACTTTTCTCCAGTATCTGATTGTTTCTGTCCTTGGCAGATCGATAGTCATTGCATAGTGACTGGAAAGCCTAGATGCAAGAAGAAGAAGAAATGTTCTTATTTCTGGGATCTGTGCCATATTTGTTCCTAATAGGACTCATTCACTGTTTATCTGAGATTTTAGGTGTTGTTTTTTGTTGTTTTTTTTTTTTTTGGTGGGGGGGGTTCCAGTCGTGGGGCCTGAACTCTGGGCCTGGGCGCTGTCCCTCAGCTCTTTAGCTCAAGGCTAGCGCTCTATCACTTGAGCCACAGCACCACTTCCGGCTTTTTTTCTTTTTGCTTATGTGGTGCTGAAGAATCGAACCCAGGGCCTCATGCATGCAAGGCAAGCGCTCTACCACTGAGCCACCTTCCCAGCCCGCTTTTAGGTGTTTTTTAAGGTAAGGCTTCTTACAGGGTTTTTTAAAAACTAGAACATAACCTATGGTTTCTCCTAATGTGTGGCACATAGGTGTGTTGCTAGAGGACTGCTCCTTTTTTTATCTTTGTTTCTTTTTTTTTTGTAAGTCTTGGGGCTTGAACTTTGTCCTTAGGTGTTGTCCCTGAGCATTTCAGCTCAAGGCAAGCACTCTACCACTTGAGCTACAGCACTACTTCCAGTTTTCTAGTGGTTATTTGGAGATAAGAGTCTCACAGACTTTCCTGCCTGGGCTGGATTTGAACAGCGATCCTCAGGTCTCAGCCTCCTATGTAGCTAGGATTACAGGCTTGAGCCACTAATGCCGACTCTTTTTTTTTTTTTGCCAGTCCTGGAACTTGAACTCAGGGCTTGGGCACAAGGCTAGCACTCTATCACTTGAACCACAGCACCACTTCGGACTTTTT